ATTCATTCATTCATTCATTCATTCATTCATGGTGTGTTTCTTTACTTCGTTACTTCCCGCAGGTTTGTTCCAAGCCGCGGGTGGCTGGAAGAGAGGCCCCCCCGGGGGGCCTTTCGTTCGAGACTGTTGCTTCCGAACCAGCAGAAAAGACACAAGCGACCCCAAAAAAAAAGACACAAGTGAACCCCAAAAAAAAGACACAGGTGACCCCCCTTCCCCCACGAGGGGCCTGCGAAACAGCTTAGCTTAACACCCACTCAGAACAACATCTTCACGGTTTAGGGTTTAGGGTTTAGGGTAAACTATTAAGGAGCTTACTATAACAGGGATCTATGGTAGGTCATTTCACCTGCTTCTTGTGGTAACTAAACCTAAACTCCTTATCAAGAGCCAAGAATCATAAAGCCACTTCCGTTCGAAGCCCTCGCTGCAATCTGGGGCGCGGGTCCGCAAGCAAAGCAGGAGCTTCACCGCACCCTCCGGAGACAGAAGCATCGTCTGATTCGGCTTCCTCCCCTCGTGTAAGTCGTGCAAATCGGTGTCCGTGGCGTTCCTGCCTCCTAGGCTCTGGGTTAGGACCTTTGTGCACAGCTCTTCGGACGGGCACTCCGAAAGCAGCTGGCAGGTGGCGTCCGCGGAAGCGAGGATGCCCCGTTCCGCCGCAGTTTCGTTCAGCAGCGAGCAGCCGTGCTTGCGAGCTGCCCAGGCAGCGGGGCTGTCCACAGCATCGAAGTTGATGATCACGCTGTGTTCTTGAGACGGCCACTCCCAGCCCTCAACCGCCTTGAGAGCCCCCTTACGAGGCACGATGGTGAAAGTTGGTAGGGCCGCCGGCTGGCTGTTGAAAAGGGGAACGGGCACGATGAAGGGCTGATCTGAGAGAGCGATGCCGCTTGCGATGCCATCCTTCACTTTGAAGTAACCCGGGAGAGAAACGTATACTCTTTCATGTCATCATAGTTCCTTTAAGGAACAAGTCCCAAAGACCTTAAACCCTAAACAGAACCCAGCATCATCCGCGCCACAGACCGCATAGCGTGACCTCACGAGACCACTCTCCAGGCATCGGTCGTGCTCGCGCAAGAACCTGGGTTGCTGTGTTACTTTCCTAGTTTAGGGTCTAGGGTTTAGGGTTTAGGGTTTCCTTGGGTTACACAATCAACAAGAAAACCTTCCTACAAACCCTTAGCTAAGCCCTAAAGCCCTAGTTATGGAATCTTGAACCCCCGAAAAGCCCAGAGACTCCAATATCCCTTAATTAAAGAATATACCTTAAAGTATAGTAGGGATCCTAACATGATTTAAGCATATTCCTTAATTACGGGATATTGGAGTCTCTGCGAGCCTCACCCTCAACAAACCCTACACGAACAGGGTTCAGATTCCACTCTAAGGACTTTAGGAGGGACCCCTAATCGAGACCCTTAATCCCATTACCTTAAATAACCATTGTATAGTCCTTATATACCCCTTATATAGCCAGGTAGTCTCCATATGAACCCCAATAACCTACAAGGGTCCCTATTAAGGGTCCCTCCTAAAGCCCTTAGATCCACGGTTTGGGATTTAGGTAGCTCTCTAAGTTAGGGTCCCCTTTGAGGGGCCTTTTTATAAGGGTGCCGTAGAATTTAGGGGGACCTACAAGGGGCCCTAATTTAGAGAACTACCCATTTAGAGCTTTAGGGCAATATAGGGGCCTTGACAATTAGAATAGGGTTTTGTGGCCCCTTATGCTATACTTATAGTAAGGAACCCCCACAATAGCATAGGTGCTAATTAAGGCCCCTATATTTCTAAGGACTTTAGGATGGACCCCTAATCGAGACCCTTAATCCCATTACCTTAAATAACCATTGTGTAGTCCTTATATACCCCTTATCTAGCCAGGTAGTCTTCATATTAGCCCCAATAACCTACAAGGGTCCCTTATGAGGGTCCCTCCTAAAGCCCTTAGAATATTAACAGGAGCCCAGGAACTTCCTGTCTAAGTCGCTGGCAGGGATCCAATCGGACCAGTTGGCACGAAACGCCTCAGATCTCTGGTTCCCAGAGACTCCGATATCCCTTAATTAAGGAATATGCCTTACCTCCTATTCGGGATCCTACTATTAAGGGGTTTAGGGTTTAGGGTTTAGGGGTTTAGGGTTTGGGGTTTAGGGTAACTGGCAAGAATGGCAGCGAATGCACCACTGCTGTTGCCTCCGTGGACCTGCCGTACGTTGTTCAGCTGATTCTGCACTGCGCTGCTGTCGCCACCGAAATCAACATCACCCCAGGTTACGACAGATCCATCTCTCACAATGGCAGCAAAAGCAGCGCCCGCAGCTTGGATCTGTTGCACATTCTGCAGCTGAGCCTGCACAAAACTACTGTCGCCACCATTCTCAGAACGTCCCCATGTCACGACGGAGCCATCGTCAAGAATGGCAGCAAAAGCGCTGCCAGTGGCTTGGATCTGCTGCACATTCTTCAGCTGATCCTGCACAGCACTACTGTCACCACCATAGCGAGCATCACCCCAGGTCACGACCGATCCATCGGCAAGAATGGCTGCAAAAGCGTTGCCGTTGGCTTGTATCTGTTGCACATTCTTCAGCTGATCCTGCACATGACTACTGTCACCACCACAGCGAGCATCACCCCAAGTCACGACGGATCCATCGCCAAGAACGGCAGCAAAAGCGCCACGGGCGGCTTGAACTTGAACTCTGCTTATATGCAAAACGAGTGACTCACCATCCTGGAGCTGGGCACGCTTGATCGGTGCATGTACATCCAGAACGTCTCCAGATGAGTTCACCGCCGCCCTTGCCCCACTTTGAGTGCCGTCTCGGCGCGTCGTTTCAGGCTCCCCACTTCTTCCTCCGAGTCGGCTTGCACAGTAGCTATCCTGCCACTGAGCAATCCAACTTGCACAGTAAGCGGCATTTTGCAGGGCGGAGAAGCCTAAGAGCGTAATGTAGGAACCTGATTAAGAAACCCTGGCCCTATAACCCCAAAATACTAGGGTTCATAAGTTCATATTAAGAACCCCAATAAAGGCCCAGGGTTTCTTAATTTAATCAGGTTCCTAAACCCTAAACCCTAAACCTTAAACCCTAAACCCTAGACCCTAAACCCAAAACCTTTAGAGGTTTCGGGAAGTGCGGAGTGCTGATCTGGGTATGGAAGCTACTGCTCGAAAGCCTACAAACCCAACCTGACCACCATAAACCCTGCAATCTCTCTATCTTAGGGTTTAGGGTTTAGGGTTTAGGGCTTAGGGAGTTAGATGGACCATTCTTCTTACAGACGGCGGCTTGGGTTTTGCTGTGAGGCACAGATGCAGACTTGAAGGACCCGAACCCTTCTGAAAATCCCGAACCCCAAATCCGAAATCCTAAAACCCTAAAGCCCCTAAACCCTAATTACACCCTAAACCCTAAATCCTAAAGCCTACAGCCGTAAACCCTAAGACCCCCAAAACCTCTACCCCCTATAGAAACCCCTAAACCCTAAACCCTAAACCTTACTAGTCCCTTTAAGGAGCCCATGTCAGGAGCCTTTCAGGGCCCGAACCCTTTAAGGACCCCACCGTCCGAACCCTGGGACCGAAGCGGCTAGTAACGCCTGTAGTAGCCCTTCGGGCTTCGGGCATAGGGCTAAGGGTTTAGGGCTTTGGGTTTCGGGTGTGGGGATTAGGGGTTTAGGGTTTGGGGTTTAGGGTTTAGGGTTTAGGGTTTGGGCTTTAAGGTGTAGGGCTTATAGTAGCCCTTATAGTAAACAGTTATAGTAGCCCTTACAATAACCTTTATGGTGGCGCTTGTAGTAACCCTTATAGGAACCCTTACAGTAACCCTTACAGCAGCCCTGATCGTTCATCCTTACAGTCACCCTTATAGCAACCCTTACAGAACCTAAGCCCTAAACCCTAAACCCTGAACCCTAAAAGAAGCCGAAAACCCTAAACCCTAAATCCTAAACCTTAAAGGAGCCCTCTAAAGACCCAAGCGCCGGGTCTGCCACCATGGGCATCACCAGCAGCCGCAGGCTCCGAAAGGCTTTGGGGTCGTACTCCTGGGCTTCGGACTTAGGATTTAAGGGTTTAGGGTTTAGGGCTTAAGGGTTTAAGGGTTTAAGGGCTTAAGGGTTTAGGGTTTAGGGTTTAGGATTTAGGGCTTCGGATGTTGGATTCTTGGGTTGGGTTCTTTTGTTTTTGTTAAGGGTTTTTTGGTTTATTGGCTTAGGGTTTTGGGTTGGGGTTTAGGACTTCGGGTTTAAGAGGGTTGGGGTTTAGGGTTTGGGGTTTGGGGCCTAGGACTTCGGGGTTTACGGGTTTAGGGTTTAGGGGTTCCTAACAGGGTTCCTGAGGGATCTGCAAGGTTTCCTATAGAGGGATCTATACAGGTTTAGGGGTGTAGGGGTTGGGGGTTCAGGGTCTAGGGTTTTGGGTCTAGGATTTTAGGATTTAAGAGTTAGGGTTGCGGACTTGGGGTTTAGGGGTTCGGGTTTAGGGTTTTTGGGTGTTCGGGGTTTGGGGTTTAGGGTTTTGGGGTGTGTTGGGCTGTCCTTCTCTTTGGCGTTTGGCCTCATAGGGTGTCAAGCGTGTTTTGTCGGGCGTCAAAGGGTTGAAGGTTTAGGGTTTAGGGTTTAAAGTTTAAAGTTTAGGGTTTAAGGGTTTGGAGTTTAGGGTTTTAGGGTTTAGGGTTTTAGGGTTTGGGGTTTAGGGTTTTAGGGTTTAGGGTTTTTGGGTTTGGGGTTTAGGGTTTCGGGTATTGGTGTCACAATCCCCAACAAGAGTCCTCACACACGATCACACTTTTAAGTTTCGGAGATTGGGGTTTACGTCCAATCTTGGAATGTCACGCCTAACACGGCATCATAGGACCAACCCAAGTTTCGAGGAAAACGAACAACAAACACCCAAGTGCCATGCAGAAAGCAAGGTCATAACCACCAAGAGCTTTTCAAAAAATAACTAAAGCCTAGCCCTAAACCCTAAACCCTAAACCCTAAACCCTAAACCCCTAAACTCTAGATCCCCTAAACCAAAGGTGCTAACAAGCAGAAGGAGTTCAAAGAGCTTCACCAGGATGTTGCCCTCAGCATCCACGGAGCTCTCACTCCTCGGCACTAGACCCTACTTGGAGATTCATGGGACTTAGTAGCTAGGGTTTTGGGGTTCCTTTTTAAGGCTACTATAGGGTTCTAGCATAGGGTTACCTTTCAGGGTTTAGGGTTTAACGTCGACTTAGAGGATGCTGGGGCTTAGTAACGAGGCTGGTACAACCCTAAAGAAAGGCTCCTCAGCACCGTGATGCCCTCCTCCGCCTCGGCGCCGTCGCCCAAGAGCAGGGCCATGGCATCACCGGGCCGTGGAGGGCCCTGTCAGGTTGATACGTAGGGGCCTTTAAGGGTTTTGGGTTTAGGGTTTAGGGTTTAGGGTTTAGGGTTTAGGGCTTTAGGGTTTAGTTTAGGGTTTAGGGGCCTTTAAGGGTTTTAGGTTTTAGGGTAGGGGCCTTTAAGGGCTTTAGGGCTGTAGGGGCCTTTAAGGTTTTTAGGCTTTAGGGCTTCAGGGCTTTAGGGGTTTACGGCTCTAGGGCTTTGGGGTTTAGCGGGCTTTTAGGCTTTTAGGCTTTAGGGCTTTAGGGCTTTAGGGCTTTAGGGCTTTAGGGCTTTAGGGGTTTAGGGCTTTAGGGTTTTAGGGTTTATGGCTTTAGGGGTTTCAGGGCTTTGGGGGTTTTAGGGCTTTAGGGGTTTTAGGGTTTAGGGCTTTAGGGCTTTAGCGGGTTTAGGCTTTAGGGCTTTAGGGGTTTTAGGGTTTAGGGTTTTAGGTTTTAGGGTAGGGGCCTTTATGGGGTTTTAGGGCTGCAGGGGCCTTTAAGGGTTTTAGGGTTTAGGGCTTTAGGGTTTTAGGGGTTTTAGGGTTTAGGGCTTTAGGGCTTTAGGGCTTAGGGCCTTAAGGCTTTAGGGCTTTAGGGCTTCAGGGTTTAGGGTTTCAGGGCTTTAGGGTTTTATTTAGGGGTTTTATTTAGGGCTTAGGGTTTAGGGTTCAGGGACAAATTGCCCATCCCAGTTTGGGCGTTCCTGATTATGGATCTCGCCCAACATACTTGGAGGATCATGGGACTTAGTAAGTTGTAAGTATAGTTACCTTAATTAAACCCTAAACCTTAAACCCTAAGCCCTAAACCCTAAACCCTAAACCCTACTTACTAAGTCCCATGATCCTTTAAGTACCCCCAAAACCCCTAATTCTAATTACTAAGGCCCCGATGTTACGGGGCTTAAGACGGAGGAAGGAGGCTCTGGATCTGAAGAAAAGATTTTAGGGTTTAGGGTTATATAGGGTCGTTATAGGGTTTTTATAGAGTTTCATAGGGTTTAAGGTATATTCCTTAATNNTTTTGGAGTCTCTGGGTTTAGAGGCCTGGTGAAAGGCGATGGGCGTGAAGTCGGCGTCGAAGCGCTGGCCGCCCATCTGAAGCTCCAGAGCGAAGTTCAGCGTTGCCTTGCCGGCTCGCCAGTCGGGGCGGACCTGTGGTTTTTGAGGCGTCGGGTTTAAGGGTTGGGTTCCTGAGCTAGTACTTGAGGTAGATTTCGTATACGAACTGCAAGAAGCCAACAAAACCCACATAAAAAACTTATGGGCGGAAGGCTTTTTTTCTTATGTGCAACTCGGCTTTGGCTTGGCTTGGCTTGGCTT